CAAGTTTCTACACCCAAACTAATGCATCCGTTAATCATACATATCAAAACATACAGTTATCGCGTAAACCTGTACCTCTAGTTCTATTATAAATCTTAAAAAGTCCGCCCACGCCGCCGCCGTCGGGGTTACGCAGGAGGGGTTACTCCCAAAAACGCCTATTGCGGCGCCGTCGATTGACGCAGGAGGGTGAAATTTTTACCACTCGTGGGTCACGTAATTCATCAGGTCGTATTAAATTTTGGGCACGATGTGGCCGGGGTTGCGCCCGTGGCGCGTGCTCATGTGCGCCATGGGGTTAGCATTAGAATCGCGACCGGCGCCGAGCAGAGGGCACGTGCTTTAGGCTCAGTTGTTCGCTTAAAAAACTGAGTGGAAACAATCACAGCCGGCAGGTCATTGACCTTTGACAACAAAGGCCGACACAAGGCACCGCTCGCCAAGGGGATTCGCCAGTAAATACAATTAATTTGTTTTTGCAATATCTCAGCCGTTTCTGGGCCGATTTAGCTGAAACTTGGACTGTCGGTGGTAGGGTAGGGTAGGGTAGGGTAGGGTAGGGTAGGGTAGGGTAGGGTAAGGTAGGGTAGGGTAGGGTAGGGTAGGGTAGTCTAGGGTAGGGTAGGGTAAGGTAGGGTAGGGTAGGGTAGTGTAGGGGTAGGGTAGGGTAGGGTAGGGTAGGGTAGGGTAGGGTAGGGTAGGGTAAGGTAAGGTAGGGTATGGTAGGGTAAGGTAGGGTAGGGTAGGGTAGGGTAAGGTAGGGTAGGGTAGGGTAAGGCAGGGTAGGGTAGGGTAAGGGTAGGGTCGGGGTAGGGTAGGGTAGTAGGGTAGGGTAGGGACTAGGGTAGGGTAGGGTAGGTAGGGTAGTGTAGGGGTAGGGTAGGGTAGGGTAGGGTAGGTAGGGTAGGGTAGGTTAGGGTGGGGTAGGGGTATGGGTAGGGTAGGGTGGGTTAGGGTAGGGTAGGGTAGGGTAGGGTAGTTTAGGGGTCGGGGTAGGGGTAGGGTAGGGTAGGGTAGGTTAGGGTAGTGTAGGGGTAGGGTAGGGTAGGGTAGGGTAGGGTAGGGTAGTGTAAGGGTAGGGTAGGGTAGGGTAGGGACTAGGGTAGGGTAGGGTAGGGTAGGGTAGGGTAAGGTAGGGTATGGTAGGGTAGGGTAGGGTAGGGTAGCGTAGGGGTAGGGGTAGGTTATGGTATGGTAGGGTAGGGTAGGGTAGGGTAGGGTAGGGTAGGGTTGAATTGAGTAACATCCTAACTTACAAAGGGCTCCGCGAACAACTCGCATGCATCACCATTCACCATCATACTTTGCAGTTCAATTAAAAGCAGTTAACCAGTTCTTCACAAATAATACCAATAAAAATGCAAGTTTCTACACCCAAACTAATGCATCCGTTAATCATGCATATCAAAACATACAGTTATTGCGTAAACCTGTACCTCTAGTCTATATTATAAATCCTAAAAAGTCCGCCGCCCACGCCGTCGGGGTTACTCCCTAAAAGGCTTATTACGGCGCCGTCGATTGACGCAGGATGGTGAAATTTTTACCAGTCGTGGGTCACGTAAAAAAACAGGTCGTATCAAATTTTGGGCACGATGCGGCCGAGGGTGCGCCCGTGGCGCGTGCTCATGTGCGCCATAGGGTTAGCATTAGAATCGGCAACAACAGGCTATTGCTCGGAAACGGTAAGGGCTACGGGGGTGAAATTTTCATGCCAAGTCGAGCGCGTGCACTCATTTGTCGTATTAAATTTTCGACGGTGTGGGTTCAGCGGTGTGCACGTGGTGGGGCCGCGACCGGCGCCGAGCAGAGGGCACGTGCTTTAGGCTCAGTTGTTCGCTTGCAGAACTGAGCGAAATCAGAGCCGGGAGGTCGTTGACCTTTGACAACGAAGGCCGACATAAGGCACCGCTCGCCAAGGGGATTCGCCAGTAAATACAATTAATTAGTTTTTGCAATATCTCAGCCGTTTCTGGGCCGATTTAGCTGAAACTTGGACTGTCGGTGGTAGTGTAGGGTAGGGTAGGGTAGGGAAGGGTAGGGTAGGGTAGGGTAGGGTAGGGTAGGGTAGGGTAGGGTAGGGTAGGGTAGGGTAGGGTAGGGTAGGGTAGGGTAGGGTAGGGTTGTGTAGGGGTAGGGGTAGGGTAGGGTAGGGTAGGGTAGTGTAGGGGTAGGGTAGGGTAGGATAGGGTAGGGTAGGGTAAGGGTAGGGTATGGTAGGGTAGGGTAGGGTAGTGTAAGGGTAGGGTAGGGAAGGGTAGGGTAGGGTAGTGTAGGGTGAGGGTAGGGTAGGGTAGGGTAGTGTAAGGGTAGGGTAGGGGTAGGGTAGGGTAGGGTAGTGTAGGGTTAGGGTAGGGTAGGGTAGGGGTAGGGTAGGGTAGGGAAGGGTAGGTTAGGGTAGTGTAGGGGTAGTGTAGGGTAGGGTAGGGTATGGTAGGGTAGGGTAGGGTAGGGTAGGGTAGTGTAGGGGTAGGGTAGGGTAGGGTAGGGTAGGGTAGGGTAGTGTAGGGGTAGGGTAGATAGGGTAGGGTAGGGTAGGGTAGAGTTAGGTAGGGTAGTAGGGTAGGTTAGGGTAGTAGGGTAGGTTAGGGTAGTAGGGGAGCGTAGGGTAGGGTAGGGTAGGGTAGTAGGGTAGGGTAGGGTAGGGTAGGGTAGTAGGGTAGGGTAGGGTAGGGTAGGGTAATAGGGTAGGGTAGGGTAGGATAGGGTAGGGTAGGGTAGGGGTAGGGTAGGGGTAGGGTTGAGTTCAAAAAGGGCCCAACATACAAAACACTTGAATACCCCGCAACTATCACCATCCCTTACAGTTTTAAAAACAGCTACCGAAATCTACCCAAATAATATAGCTAAAAATACAAGTCAATCACCCAAAACTAATGCACCCGTAACATAACATAAATCAAAACATACAGTTATCGCGTAAACCTGTACCTCTAGTAGCTTTAAAACTCTTATTTTGGCAGCTTTTTGAAATTCACGTACGTCGAAATTAGCCGTGCAAAGATCTAGGTCAGGAATATGGACCCTGCAACGTCATCAATGGGGCTGGGTCCAAATTTTTTACTTGAGAAGATGTACAATTGATGGGAAAAGGTACTAAAAGTTTGCGCCTCCAACGCAAAGCGCTCAGGAGCTATCGCAAGTATTCGTCGCGGGGGGGGGGGGTAAATTTTGTACCCCCTCCCCCCGGGCCCGCGCGGGATAAGGAACACGAGACACATTTTCTTAGGGTGCCCATATTGCCAACTTCCCCTACATCCACCAAACTTTCTTCAACAACACCCTAGGTATTCGTTGAAAGCTATATCACGTTGCGAATGTGTTACTTATCAGGTTTCGGAGATATCACACACAACGTTTGGACTTTGGAGTTGCGGGCAACTTAATGCCTCCCCCTACCCCTCCGCCAGCAGCTCGTGGGTAAGTGCTTCAACCACAAAAAAAAACTTCCAAATATGACCTAGATATTCGTTTGAAGCTATACGAAGTTTTTTGTTCATACCTGATCAGGCTTCGGAGACGTCACACACAACGTAAGGGGAGCAACTTCATGCCCCCTCCCCCGCGGGTGGTGGGGTAGTTCTCCACTCCTGGCTGTAAGTGATGGGCTCAATTGACGAAGCCTCCTCCCTCTCTACCTCACGTATTTAGTCAGAACGATTCATCGTTCATGTGATATTGACCAAAACTCTACCAAAATTGATAGCGCGATACAATTCACGGCAAACCGGATGAGTTCGATTTTTTATATTCAACGTCGTCAATAACTTAATATCTTTACAATCAGTGCTGCTTTTGACGGATCCCATATTGATAGGCCAGTCGCGAGTCTTTCTTGGGCAAACGACACCTCCATGAAGACAATGGTCTGGTTTCATTTTTACCTCACAATCACCGTCCAGCACGGCCTGACTGCCTGACTCACCGCTCCTTATTTACCGGCCGAGCGCAGAAGACCGGCCGACGGCTTTCCCGGGACTTTTTTTATTCGCCGCGCGACACTAGCGCCACCTGTGCCGGCGTCCGACGGAGGCCGTATCGCAGGCGGTCAGAGACTGTGTGCGGCTGGCGTCGGGGGAGTCGCGCCCGTCTGTGGAGACGGCGCAGTGTTGGACGCAGTCGGCGGAGCTGAGGACGTGACTCTGCCCGGAGAGACCGGAGGACTCAGTACGGGAGATCTCTGAGGACGCTGAGGACACTCCCCGGGGTGTTTTGAGGACATTGTCTGCAGGATTATCAGCACTACCCGGAGGAGTCTCAGGACTGTCCGGAAAGCTCTGAGGACTCCGCAGCACTCCTTCCGGAGGACTCCTTTTGAAGGACTCGAGAGGGAACTCACCGAGGCATCTGTGAGGACTCGCTATGAATCCTCTGATGCACTCCGGCGTGATTCCGGGCTCGATTCCGGCGTCCGGATTCAACTATGTTCCGGACGGTTACGGAATGTTACACCAGAGTCAGGCGTCCGGGATGTTACACCAGACTCAGGCGTCGCCGCACAACGGGTAAGTTCCCCGAGATGGAGTGACAAAGTGTGGGGAGGGGGGGGGGGGTGAGTGGAGTTTGAGTGAGAGTTAATGATTGGGTTTGGGGTGTTGAGTTTTCAGTAGGTCTCAGTAGTTGATAAGGTTTCTATTATTGTTTGTGCTTGTGGGGTTTGAGTTTTAACGTCTTGATTGAAGGTATATTTGTTAGTAGTTTCGTTCAAGTGTTTGGTGTGAGTCTTTGTGTTGAGTGTCAAAGTGGTTTTGGTCTAGCTATTATATCTGTCCTGTCACTACACTTTACATATTGTTAGTATACCTATGTTTTGGATGTTCATAGCAGGACGAGTGTTCTTAGCTGGTTGTTGTGTTTTCATTTATATTGTTCTGTATTTCATTAAGTGCGTCCATGAAGAATGCTTAGAGCGATAGTACATACATTTTCTCGGGGATGGACAAAACTATTCGCATTTGCTGCATTTTGTGACATATTTGCACACAAGACATCCCGCTCTGCTGCGTCGATCATGTGTGCCGGGCGGGTTTAGGACATTTGGTGCTCCGCTGGCTCCACTGTGCCGCGATGTGGGCTGTGCCGTGCCACAGAGTCACGATGTGAAGCTGATGATGACCGCGACCCACCCGGAAAACCTCGCTGACGTAATGCACCGCGGCAAATGCAACAAAGTGGCCCGACTTTAAATCACCGACATGCAAAGGAATTTACCACGGCTCGTGCAGCGAGTCCCGGTATTGCCGCTCACCACAGGGGTTTGTCAGGAACTCAGCCCGACTGTTCGATTCCCCTCTCGCCTCTGGCTTTTGTCCAAATCAGGTCTAACCAAAAGACTGTGGATTTGGCTCCTCACGTCTTATTGCCACAATAAATCAGGTCATTCAATCGTACAGACAAACTGTGCAATGGCCAGTATAACTCAATTACGACATGAGCGCAATCGCTACCCGTTTATAGCCTCCTTGAATCACGGTGAGGCCGTGTGTATACAAAATAATTGCCGAGGAAATGTAAGTAAATCCCTAATGTGGGCCTGCCATGTTAATATAGCTTATTAACATGGCCAGGCGTCGGGTACCGGTAGCCGAACGAGGTTGATGTTAGAGGCAGGACTGCAATCCCACCTCTTAAGATTTTGGCTGTTCGGCGCAATTTAGTTGGTGGGCTTCGAACAGGACAGTAGTCCCATTCTCAACAGCGTGCAACAAATTACGCCGAACACGTTGCCGCGGAGCGAGCTGACAAAAGCCGGCACATCAGTCCGACTCCGAGAGCCACACCACACGGACAACGTTCCGGTCCCGCCCGAGTCTCCTGCCAGAATGCGCCGCCGCCGCGGCACCGGCCCCACATCACCGCCAGTCACGTGATCCACGGGTCACCAATCAGCGAACGCGCCGCGCGGCGCGGCCGAGCGCCCGCCGGGTAGACTGCGCCGCAGCGCTGCTCGCTGCAGCAGCGGCGGCCAGCCGGACGGCCCGGCGGCCGTAAAGATGTAACAAATACTAACATTTCTCCCCACCAAAATGTGGGAACTCTGCAGTTAACACATTTTCAACAAAAACGCGCACACATTTACATACAGGCACACTTCACTTCACTGGCCGCACGCGAACTTGGTTGCGGCCGCCGTTGCGGGCCTCGTCAGTCCTCCCGCAGCTGACCCTGGGCTCCTGGACCGGAGGCCAGCGTCATCGGCTGCGTCCTCTTTTTCCTCTTCTTCCACAGGCGTGGGAACGCTGAGAAGTGAGGCGGTGCTGCCGGTGGTGCAGGCGTCCTCCAACTCCGGCTCCACCTCTGTCTTGGGCCGTCGCTCCTCCAGCGGCTCCGAAGACGTCGTCTTTTCGGAGACGGCTGCCGGCAGCCTCCCAGTGTCGGCGTTGACGGGCACCGTCGGGACCGCCGGGGTGCTCCAGCACACCGGCTCCGGCCCATTCCGCTCACAGCAGATGATGGGGCGATCTCCCCATGGAGAGACGAGGAGGGCTTTAGACCCTGACTCCGGGCCACAGCCCAGGAGTCGTGTTCGCCCGGCGACAGCCCGGCTCCACCCTCGCCTTTGTGCTTTGGGTCATCATTTGACCCCTTGACAGAGAGAGTCATCTCCCCGTCTTTGTTTGTCACCGTGTTATGTTGCTCACCGCTCAGGCGAGTCTTTCCTGCATTGAGCAGCTCTGGCTGCGAGGTTCGCGCCTTTGCGGAACCATGATCGGATGGTGAGCGTTCATCCGACGTCAATGTCAAATTCATGTCATTGGAACAGTCCACTGGCTCGTTCCAGTGTGGATCAGGCAGCATACTATCCACATCCATGACCTCATTTTGGCCGACCTTCATTTCAGCCAGACTTCTCACCTGTCTCAGCTGACGACAGTGGGAATTCTGGTGACCGGGCTGATTCAGCGAATCATCACATAAGTACCCGTGCAGTGCGTAGCCAAAGACCGTCTCTATGGCTCGCAGACCCTCTCCGATCTCGATCTGCCTCCACAACACGACACGATACAAATAATCGATGCCGATTAGGAGATCCACCTCCCCACCGTCAAAATCGTCGGCCATCAAATCCGGCAGTCCGGAAGGCCCAGTGGGTGGTGAGGTGGCTGGGAGGGGCGAGCACAGCAACTCTGTGCTCCACATCTTCAGCGTCACGGGATCGCCACCGAACCGACTTCGGAGCGTCACTTGTACCTGATCATACGGTCTAGCTGCTTCCGTCCGTTCCTGGAAGCCGGAACAGGCAAACATGCCCGTACCTGTTACAGGGAGTCCCAGCTCCTTGGCCAGAGAATCTCTGACATAGGAGGCATCTGAACCTCCATCAATGAGGAGGCGTGCCTTTCGCTTGCCTTCCGGTCCCTCGACATCAACCAATGCCGTCAGGAAAAACGTTTCTTTTCCAGAGATGCCTGTGGCATTATAACATCTGTGGCTCTGGGAACCTGAGTCACCAGCTTCGGCATCGTACTGAACACCCTCAGTTGTGGCCTCCACAGGGCAGAAAGGTGGAGCCTCAGGCGACAGCCCGGGCCTCTCTTCACCGATCTCCTCATGTGGGGCAGCCCTCGCAAAGTGAAGCAGCGAGTGGTGTTTTCTGCCGCAGATGGCACACGAGTCACCACGACAGACTCCGGCCACATGACCCGTCCCGAGGCACTGATAGCAGGCTTTGGAAGCCCTGGCGCTCATCCATCGGGCCTCCACTGAGAGCTCCTGGAACTCAGCGCACTGGTCCAGCCGGTGGGAGCCGCGCCCGCAGCACCCGCACAGCGGCGCACTGGGCTCTTTCCCTGGGCGCGCCATGTGTTGGGTGTGCTCACTGATGACGCCAGACGGCGCCGAGATTTGAGCATCGGGTGAGACAGCATTAGCTTGGCCTCCCCGGGCCGACTCTCGGATTCGCATCTCATGTTGCAGGAATTCCAGAAACTCGGAGAAGTCGCTGCTCTGTCGTCTGGCCCACTCGAGACGCCAGCTTTCTGGGATTTTATCTCTCACGACCGGCAGCATCAGACTGGAGAAACTGTCAGAACTGACTCCCAGGATACTCAGCGCGCGAGTATGCGCCATCAAATGATCTATGAAAGACCTCATCGCCTTCAGGTCATTTTGTGGGACCGACGGCATGCTCAACATGTCTCTCATTAAGGTCTCTCGGACCAGGTCATCACGCTTGAAGCGCTCTTTGAGAGCCGAGACAGCTCCAGCGTACCCGCCACCTGAGACGGGAATGCCTTGCACGCACTTGAGTGCAACTCCAGCCAGGTGCGATTTGAGCACTACGAATCTCTGCACATCTGCGAAGCCAGGATTGTTGTGGACAGAAATTTCAAAAAGTTCCCAGAACTCAGACCATTTCATGATGTCCCCGTGAAAAGTAGGAATTTTCACGGAGATGGAAGACTTAAAATCAGCGTTTCCCGACCCAGTCGGTGGCTCAGCCTTTTCCTTGGCTTTCTCAGCCCTTTCAAGGCGGGTGAGGAGGCGAGAGCCAAGAAACACCTCATCCTCCATGGTCTGCATGTGACCAGAATCATCTGCCTGCCCTAGCTTGTCGAGCTCAGCCTGAGTGCTGTGCAGCTCGCTCTGCACCTTCTGAACATGGTGGAGCTTGAGGGCAAGTAGGTCTGGGTCCAAGATTTTACGATCACCTTCTCGGTAAATTCGAAGCTCATTGCACAGTTTCGTGGCCTTTGAACGAAGTTTTGTTCTCGTACTCAAAAGTTCATCCATGATGTGACAGGCTTCAAAATTCAAGTTAAATTCAAAAATAAAGCGGACTGTATGTAAAACAAATTATAGCAAAACCATCTAACCGGACATCAATCCGATCAAGCGGAACAAACCTCAATTTCACGAGAGGAGAATTACAACAAAGTAGGAATCGAAAGTCAGTCCAATCGCCAAGACGGTAGTCCCAACGAAAGCCAGCCCAATCGCCAAGACGGAAGTCCCAACGAAAGCCAGTCCAATCGCCAAGACGGAAGTCCCAACGAGAGAAAAGACGATCCGGCCCCGGTGGACTTATGTCAGGAACTCAGCCCGACTGTTCGATTCCCCTCTCGCCTCTGGCTTTTGTCCAAATCAGGTCTAACCAAAAGACTGTGGATTTGGCTCCTCACGTCTTATTGCCACAATAAATCAGGTCATTCAATCGTACAGACAAACTGTGCAATGGCCAGTATAACTCAATTACGACATGAGCGCAATCGCTACCCGTTTATAGCCTCCTTGAATCACGGTGAGGCCGTGTGTATACAAAATAATTGCCGAGGAAATGTAAGTAAATCCCTAATGTGGGCCTGCCATGTTAATATAGCTTATTAACATGGCCAGGCGTCGGGTACCGGTAGCCGAACGAGGTTGATGTTAGAGGCAGGACTGCAATCCCACCTCTTAAGATTTTGGCTGTTCGGCGCAATTTAGTTGGTGGGCTTCGAACAGGACAGTAGTCCCATTCTCAACAGCGTGCAACAAATTACGCCGAACACGTTGCCGCGGAGCG